CCAGCAAGCTAGAAACCCTCTTTGTAGAGGCACCAGCAAACCTAACCCTGGCCTCTGCAGAGCTAAAACTGCAATTATTAAAGGGAAAAAAGGCAGTGGTGATCGGCTGTAAGGGATGATTCATTGCCGGTGTGTAATAAGCAGCTGTTGTCAGGATGCCAGGGTGGTCTGGCTGGATGCTTGGCAGCCTTTTGGAATAACTTAGAGTAGCTGGGAAGGTCCTCATGCAAAGCTTAAAGGAAAAAGAAAAAAAAACCCCGGGCATGGGAGCTGTGAGGGGCTGCTGGGTTTGGCTGGCTATTTTCGGAGGTTGCTGGCAGTTCCTGGCTGGCTGCGCCCCATGGATGCCAGATTGGGAAGCCCAGCGCTTCTCCAGGGGAAGGCTGCCTTCTTACCAAACCTCTCCCGAATGTACGTACACAGGGAACGGCGGAGTCAAAAATAAAGCTCTGAACATTTCACAACTCCTGCCGGCTCCAAGAGCCGCCGCTGCCGCCATCCCACGCGACGCTGAAGCCGCGCGCTCGCGGCTTCCAAGTTTCACGGTGAGCTTTGCAAGTGGGAAGCGAGCAGCCTCCCCCAGGCAAATCACCGCCGAGCTCCTTGGCGCAGGCCATGCTCTAACAAATGCCATCTTTTTTTTTTTTCGAGTGCAATCCTCCAGGAAAAGAGGATTTTAAGCAGAGGGCTTGTCTGTGAAACAATGCTCATGCAGGTTTTTTATCCCCCGCACTAGGACGGATCTGGGTGCCGGCTGGGCACCCCTGAACAGCATCCTCAGGCTGGTGTTAAAACTTTTGAGATGACACAACTCCCTCTTTACACAATATTCGCTTATCTCAACAGTCTCGGAGGGAAAAACCAAACTCCAGCACACCCGCTCGTCTCTTGATAGACTCTGATCCTCGCGCTACAAACTCGACGTAGGCGATGATGCAGAGAGGATAAACCTCCAACCAAAACATGGTAATCTGGTTTTGAAGTCTTGTAGAAGGAACAAACAGGAGTGAGTCAACAACAAGCCACTCCGTGAAGTGCATCAACGGAGAGACAGCATATATTAACCCAGATCTGCTTAATTTCAAGAGTTTACTCCCCTTTCCTGAAATAGAGAGCTCAAGCAGGCAGCAGGAAGGGCAGGCGGAGGGGAACCTCGCAGAGGAAAGCCTTATTCCCCTGTTGAAGCGATCTTTGCCATTTCTTTTTATTTATTTATTTTTAATGCATGCCTCCTTTCCCTTTCCTGCTGTTAGGGTCGTAACTATTTCCCAGGCAGGCAGCGTAATGCACTCAAAGGCTGCTCCGGCGCGGCGCTAAGTGCCATCCCCTTTGACGGAAGGGCAGGAGGGAGGTTGCAATACCCTTAATGAGCTCTGAAGACCTCACTCATGTTTAAAACGAGGGATTTCCAGACGCAAGGCTAATGTAAAACGCATTAACACTAATGGGGGGACAGGGTGTGGGGGGGGGACTCCCAGCCCTTCGGGCCCCAGGAGGTTGTTTCGCGTGGTGCTCGGTGTTTGCTGAGCCCTAAGATGCTCTTTGGCGTCGGGCTTACCTGCGGACCAGGACCCATGGGGCCCATCCCTCGTGGAGGATTCATCCTTTGCATGGGGCCGCCCATGTTAGGGTGCCCTGTTGGGAGGAAAGCAGAGGCGTTACGCGGCACAGCAGCCACTTCGGGTCCCAAATTAGCAGCTAACGGGAAACGTTAATGCTCGACCCTCCTCCGCTAGGTTTACCTTGCTGTCGCGTGGGATCCATGGAATTGGGCAGCAACGGCTGTGTACCGGGAACGGCACCCGGGGGCTGCGAAAACAAGGGGAGGAAGATTAATAAATAAATAAATAATTGCTAAAAGGCAGCCTACAGAGATAGATTTGGTTTGAGGCTTTAGGGAGGCTCCTCAGTGTGCTCCCCGGGACGCACCATCCCTCCTGCCGCAGCGCAACCTGCGGCTGCCCGAGCATCCCGCACCCCCCCGCAGCCCGTATCCTGCTGCATCTCACATCTCAGGCATCTGCAGCTTCTGGGTATTTACCTTCCCCTTCCTTTCACTCAAACAGCCCCTAAAACCCAAACAAGGCGCCAGCACTTCCTCTCCCCCGCAGCCCCTGTGCCATCAGGCTGCCGTATTTTATGGGGTGGGGGAAACCCAGGCTGCACGGGGCAGAGGTCTCCAAGCCAGCAGGGAAAGGCAATGGGCAGCTCGGCTCCCCGGTATTTACACGGCACCAGGGCCAAACGGTTCAGGCTGCAGCGGTTCTGCCAGTGTGGAAGGAGATGCTGCGCTTGCAGATCCGTCCCCATGCGGGCAGAGGGGAAGGAGGATGCTCCCCCTCCCCAAACCCAGCCCTACTGGGGCAACTCGGCTATTTAAAGTTCAAAGGCTGCTCAGAACAGATAAATGGGGGAGAAAAAGCAGATACCATCTGCCTGGGGGAAGCAAACTGTAAACATTTTTGCTACAGCTCTGCCTTTTATTTGAACGCCGACACAGACAGATCCCGCTGCTGGAGCACAGCGCGGGCACTGGGTGCGCATGGACATGCCAAGGCAGAATCTGCCCAATCCTAATTTTTTTGCAGCCTGGAAGCTGGCAGCAGGAAGAAGATAAAAGAGGAGGTTTGTAGAGCTGGATATTTACACTTCTGCTGCCTGACCTTCCTGCCTGCCTATTTATTCCTCTTGTCCCTCTGGATGTGACTGTAACCTCGCCAAGCTCTGTGTAGGTACAAACCTGTGTTTTATACATGGTGTTTGGGGGGAGAAATTACATCTTTCTAATTAACTTTGCTTACTCTTGGATGCCTGATCCTACCACAAGAGCAGCCTCCCCAAACTGGTCTCCTGCCTTCCCCAGCTCACTGTGCTCACCTCCAGGGGAGCTCAGGACAAGCCCAAGACCAGGACAGGGGCCCGTTAAAACTGCCCCACGAGAAAGTGCCGTTAATTAACACCTCGCTAAACCAGCCACCAGCGCCCTGGGTGGGAGGCTCTTCCAGACCAGCTGAGCTTGGGGGTCCTATATCACAGAATCCTATCAGAGAACGGTTTGGGTGGGAAGGCACCTTAAAGATCATCTTGTTCTAAACCCCCTGCCATGGGCAGGGGATACCTTCCACTAGACCAGGTTGCACAAAGCCCTGTCCCAACCTGGCCTTGAAAGCCACCTTGAAAGTTTTTTCTTAGCTCCATCTCACCATCATTTTGCGAATTTCAGTGATTCACGTCTCAAATGCAGCAAACAGAAACACGAAGCAAGCTGCTACATCCCATTTCCTGACTACGCTGCTCTTCCTGCTAATAGGAGCTATAGAAAAATAATGTTCTTGGCCATAAAAACAAGCTCTCAAGATAATTTTTGCAGTCATTTTTGCTACCCAAAGGAATTCCAGGTTTCCTTTAATTTCGTTTTAATGACAAATAACGTCTGGTTCGATCATTAGCCTACGGATCCGCACGACATCGTTGAGAGTGAGCCGAAGCCCTCGACCGGAGGCCACACGTTCAGGCAGTGCGTGGGGTGGAAGCCTCCGTCCGGAAGGCCAGAAACAAACTGCCCTTCTTTAAGCTGGGATAAGAGGATAAACTCAACCCAAAAAATTCAGCGGTGACCTGCCCCGCTTGACCCCGACGCTGATCTAAGCGCTTGGTCAACCCAGCAGCCGGGATTATCTCCATCGCTTTAATTTTCTGCGATTGCAGGGAAAATCCAGCCTGGCAGCGAGCCCAAGGCACGACCGTGCTGCAAGCACCACGAAGCAAAAGCGGCACGTTCCTCAGCACCTTTTACACCCCGGAGATGCCCGAACCTCAAAATAAAACTAAACCAAACTGGTTACGCGACGGTTGATGCTCCAGCACCAGGCAAAACACGCGAGGGAGGCAATGCTTGCCATCTGGACCCGAGGAGCATCTGCAGGACCCTGCACCCCCTCCCCAAAATGAAAAGCCATCCCGGGGACGCAGTACCTGGTTGCCCATCCTGATGGGGGGCCGGGGACCTCCGGCGTAGCGCGGCGACATGAACGGCTGCAGGGACACAAAAGGGAGGTGAGGGCCGAGCTGCGGGGAGGCAGCACGCTCCCCACGCACGCCGGTTAGACTGTACACACTGGTTGGGTTTGGTTTTTTTTTCAGTTTTGTGGTTTGTTTTCTTTTCTTTTTTTTTTATTTATTTTCTGGAGACATCCTTTTTGAAAAACGTTAAAAGTTTCAAAAGGGGGAAAAAAAAAAAAGAAAAAGGTGTCCGGAGTCCGTTTTTATTAAACATTTTCTCTGTAGGTTTATTGTTTGAGAGTATTTGGCATCAGCAATACTAGGTGAGGCTGTTAAAATTAGTGCATGGGAAGCCCTGAGTGTTAGGTACTGTTCAAGTTTAAATCTATAGAGATATATTTTAAAAAGTGGCAAATAAGCACATACAGACACGCACACACGAAAAAACCCCCAAGGCTACGTACTGAAAAAAAAAGAAAGACTTAAAGTTACCTTTTTTTACAACTGCTGCTACTAACAGAAGCTTAAAAACCCACATCAAGTTAAATTTCTCAGGCTACCTTGGGAAGATAAAACGGTCTGATACCCACGACTGACTTCTCAGTCCATTGACAACTGCACATCCAAAAAAAAAAAAAATAAAGAAAAAAAAAGAAAAAAGGGAAAAAACCCAACACTTTGCTTTGGAGCTGGGATGCCTGGGGAGATGCTCCCCAGGAGGGAGTGGGTAACCCCTGCATTTTGCTTTATAGAGGAAAAAAAAAAAAAAAAGCAAATCGAGCGCACGTCCCGGTTCACAGCCCTACCCATCGCTAGTGTCTTTACCTGACTGTGGGGTCCCATCATGCTGTTAGGATTGTGGGGTGGAGGCTGTGCGTGTGGCGAGGGCTGTGACCCAGGCGGTCCCTGTGAGGTCAGACAGTAGAAGGAGGTTATAGATTAGCACATGAAAGCGCAGAAAGCTAAAAAAAGGATTGACGGGTGGACCTGTTTTGTCCTGGGAGTCAGTTCTCCCATTTTCTAATTACTGGATTTTTTCTTTTTTTTTTTTCCTCTGTTTTTTTTTTTTTTAAGTGAGCATCTATTCATTTGTAGCTGAACAATGAATAATGATATATGCCAAAAAAATTAAAAATGTTAAAAATCAGAACAACTGTCAAAATACAGCAGCCACATTGACGGTAAACGGTCCGGTAGTTCAACCAAGTCTGCAATGATAATAAACACACAGGGAAACACTTTGCAAGGGTGTGCAACAAGGAAGAAAAAAACACGCAAGAGAGGACCAGAGAGGTCGGGGGGGAAATACAAAAAAACCCCCCCCAAATAAAAAAAAAAAAAGTATTTTCTCCTCTCTCATCCCAAAGGTTGGAAACACCTCCGGGGTTTCCTTTATTTTGTTTTGACCGTGGCTCACTGGAGGTGCTGGAGCGAGCGCCGAGGACGAGGAGCACGTCCCAGCTCGCACCCGGGCGGCGTTTGGCCGGCACGACCGGGGCTGCAGCACCAGCCGGTACGGATGCAACATCCTTCCTGGAGGTGGATTCCCTAAGGATGCGAGTAAAATGGCTTGCGAGCAAAGAAAGGATGTCTAGGGGAAAAAAGGAGAGATTAGTCGGTGCAGGTTTAAGGCTGCAATGCAGCAGCTGCTGACATTTTGGGCTTGAACGTTCACTTTTTTATTTTATTTTCCTTTTTCTTAAATTTCCCTTCAAAGCACGCGATGCAAATTTGCTTGGAAATACCGCGAGCTTGGTGTGAGAATATGCCGGTGCGTGTTAACGTTAAGGGGGTGGGGGGGAAGAAGGAAAAAAAAAAAAAAGCAGCAGCATTTTTTGAGGTGTAATTGGTAGAGAAAGCAAATAAGCTTTGTCAGTGGGTGATGAGGAGCGACGGCAGGCTCCAGGACCGGCGCCGGAGCAGATGTTCTCTACCTGCCTCGTTACTAATTTCAACAAGTGTTCGCCTTCTAGCTGCTGCCAGCAATGGCATGGTTTGTTACCATGAGCAATTTTCTTAATTAACAGACATTAATTAGCCATTTAGCAATTTTGCAAGCATTTGTTTAGCAGCTTTCCTAAACATGAATACCACTGTGATAATGGTACTGATTAGAGGGTCCCCTAATTAACAGTACAGGGAAGGAAAATTGAAATCACATAAATTAAAAAGGGAGGGGAAGTTAATGAAGGCAGGACATATTTGCACCTGCAAATCTTTTGTACGGCAGAAACTTGAGTGCAATGTAAATAAAGTAAGAGGGTGGGTTTTTCTCCTCTTTTTTTTTTTTTTTTTTTTTTTTTTTCTTTGAATGGTTCGGTGGCGAGATGGAGCCAAACAGATTGAAACCAACAGCCTCCTGCCAGCCTCTCTGCTCCAGCCTCTGCGCCCGGGGAAATGCAGTCCCACCACCTACACCACCATCTACTCTCCTGGAACCGAAGGCAACCAGCCCCTGTCCCTGCTGCTGGGCCAGCCTTGGCTGGAAGAGGTCACAGCACCTCAGGACAACCTCAGTGCCAACACAACCGCCTTCTCCATCAGCGCCCCACCAGCACAGAGAAGAAAAACCTCTGTGGCCCAACTGTAGCATCAGCCTACTTCAGCACAAGTCTTCTCCAGGCATGAAACTTGACTTATTTTTGCTTTTGAGGCAGCTAACTCTGTCTTTGTGAATGTAAACCCCGCCAGAGGCAGGAGCCACCTCCCACCACCAGTTCCAGGAGGACAGCATCCTCCCAACAAGGTCCATCCACCACCAAAGCCCTTCCCACATGTCACAGCTGAAGGATTTAGGGTAGGGAAGATAACCTGAGGTGAACAAGTGATGAAACCAAGTGGAAGGGGAAAAAAAAGGATTCGCAGAGGCCAACCCACAAGTCCCATCAATGCATGAGTCAACAAGTCCTCCACAAAGCCTGCCTTGCTGTGCTGCAAGACCACTGATACCCAGGTCCTGACCGGCCAGGCACGCAGACCCCATCCTGAAGTTACTAAACCCTTGACATTCTCCCTTTTGTATCCCCCAGGGTGTGAGCGTATGGGGTTAACAGGTATCAAATGCGTGGGGGACACGATCACCTACACGCACCCCAGCTGAGCCCGGAGGTGATGCTTTGGGTTTACACGTAAAGCTTCAGAGCAAGCAGCGTCTGCTTACTGTAGAAAAAGCATCTATAGGACATGGCAGCATTTTCAACGGAGAAAAATTCCCTGTGGCAATTGGACCTGGGGAGCATCGGTTGTTCGTTTGTGCTGCTGAACGCATCCCCCAGAGCGCAGTCCTGCCCTGCCGCCCCAAGGCTCTCCCTGAGATGCTCCACCGCTGCATCCTCACCGTCACATCATCCCATGCGGTACCGCTCCCGGCAGAGACTTCTGGCTAACGTGACCAACAGACGCCCAGCTCGTGCAAACATCTCGGCAGGCAGGGAGGAGCCAAAAGGGGCTTTTTCTTTACTTCTTTTCTTGCTTTATCAAAACAGCAACAAGCAGCAGCATCCGCAATGCTTGCTCCGGGCTGTGACCGCCACAGCCCCCTCCCTGCATGGCTGCTCTGCTCCATCAGAAATGCAGACCCTCCGGATATTGTTATCTCCGTAAATATTTGCAGATGTTTTAGGGCTGGGACTGGCGTTCAGTGAGGAACGACTGCCGGATCGGTTCCCTTTTCACAGGGGTCTCCCTCGCTGCAGAGGAAGCGGCAGATGATCCTGATGGATCACGGTGGTTAAGACAAGTGTTTTGCAGGGATGACATGTGGGTTCCAGCCACCAGAACAGCCCTTTTTGTCTTAAAAAACGTGTACTTAGCAGTTATTAACTAGTGCTGTTACAAGCAGAGGCCGAACGCACACACAGTCCTGCTTCCTCCACATCCCAAACACTCCATCTGACGCGTCGTGCCGGGCAAGCAGGACCTGCCCTGCAGTTCATTTGCTCTCATCTCAAGACCAGCACTCTCTCCATCCAGAGAAACCCCATCATCTCTTCAGTTTTTGGTTTTTCCTCCCAAACTGGATGCCTTGCATGGGAGGTTACTCTTCACTTTCCCGTAGATGCCTCAAAAACCCCCAACCAACAACCCTCAACTGCTAAAACGGCGTTAGAGGAAACTGTTTCCAACAGCTCTTGGTGCCTCAACCTCCTCCCTGCTTCATTTTTTTCCCCCATCTACACTACGGGGACTTTAAAAGCCCAACCTGGCCCGTCAGACGACCCAAGTTCACTGCCGCTGCTGCTTCCTACGGGGAGTTTCCAGGCGATCAGGTTATTTCCACTCTGTCTTTCATGAGCTCAACTCCTCAAACTTCTTGTAAAATATTAAAGATGGAAAATGGCACGAGCGATCATAGCTCTGCGTGTGTCAATTTATGTTTCCAGAATAATTCACCACAAATGGATCATGTTTTATGGGCTACATACTTTCAGCTAATGGGGGAATTTTTCTATTTAAAAACATTTTCAAGCACCTCTGGGGGTGGCAGAACAATGCAGGATGGTACGAGGAGGAGAAGCATCGCTGCTGCGAGATACCGACCATTTAGAATTGGTAATAGGAAGGCATCTTGGGTTTTAAAATACCTGCCCCTGCCTACCCGTTTTGACACTAGAAAATACTAAAATAAATTAGATGATTAGAGATTAATTAAAGATGTGTCGAGGTTTATTGGGTGGGAGCTTTTATTTCTACCGAAGGAGAGGGAAGTTTTGCAAGTTGTCAACAAAAAAAGTAAGACATCCCTGAAGGAGCCTTTAGGAGAGATGCTCCAGGTGCCTTTGGAGAGGACCGTGGTCACCTTCCAGCACGTGGTGCTGGGTGAGGAACCAACTGCACCTTCTCGAGAGAGGGCAAGGCAGGGCAAGGCAAGGCAAGGCAAAGCAAGACAAGGCAAAGCAAGGCAAGGCAAGGCGAAGCAAGGCAAGGCAAAGCAAGGCAAGGCGGGCCAAGTTCCCCCGCAGACAGCGGAAGGCAGCCGTGGGCAGGAGCTGTGCCTCGCCTGCAGCTGGGGCTCCCAACTGCAGAAGCCTGGTTTTAAGGAATATGTTTAACACAAGCTCTTCAGGAAACAAACCCGTGTCAGCCGGAGCCAAGAACAGTCACCTCCATCTGGCTGGAGCACCCGAGAGAAAGTTGACTGCAAATCCCACCATATGCTCCAGACGCTCGGTACAAAAGCCCCGGGCATCCTACTAAACTTCCAGAAAAAAAAACCCCACAACTTTCTCCGACGCTCACTTGAAATTTTCCCCAGCTCCTAAGACACCTTCCCTCAAATCCTGCCTGGTCCAAGGCTGACACCGAGTTCTGCCTCGGGATTTCAGGAAGGACAGCCCGGCTTTGCGGCTCCTGCCGGAGCTGGTCAGACACAGCTGGCGGCACCTGCAGAGCGGTGGCAAAACCCACCAAGACATCAGGACAACCGAGCAGGGGGAAAATGGTGGCATCCAAGGAGGGAGCAGGACAACATGGATCCCACTCCATTGCCCCTGGCTCTAACATCCTTATCCCTTGTGCGTGACCTGATCCAACGCGACTCACCCCGGGATGCGGGGAGGAGAGGCAGGGAGGTTGGGAGATGCTGGAATGAGGGGAGCCCCCCGGGGCTCTGGACCCCCCCCAACCCATCCTCCACGTTTCCCAAGGTCTCTCTGCATTAGGGGGCAGTGTGGGAACACTGAGCAGCCGGCGCTTTGTTTTGGTGCATCTCGGCGCCGACACGCTGA